GGTTAAATATTAAAATGATACCAGGCCTGAAGAATCCCTGAACAGACAAATCAGTTGGGCGTTGGAAGTGACCTCAACCTTGCCTCAATGGAAAACAAGTGAAGCTTAACTGGAGTCATTTCATTTCTCGTAAATGGTTATGTTAGGCAGAAGAGAAACTTAAGCCCAGCCAATCATAAGCAGCCAGCCAACACTTGATTGTGTAACTAGGGACTTCCCAACTAGACGAAGAAGGCAGCAGCATAACTGTAACTAATCAAGTGATTTCTTCAGTGTGCTTCCTCGTTTTCCCAGTAACAAATAGACAAATACTTATCTCTGACATTTTTGTCATTGGCCAGAGAAAAATAGGTATTTATGGCCGGCTCAGGCCTGTAATCCCAGCACTTTGGGAGGCAGAGGCAGGTGGACCACCTATGCTCAGGAGTTGGAGACCAGCCTGGCCAACATGGAGAAAAGCAGTGTTTACTAAAAATACAAAAATTAGCTGGGTGTGGTGGCCTGTAATCCCAGCTACTGGGCAGGCTGAGACAGGATAATGGCCTGATCCCAGGAGGTGGATGTTGCAGTGAGCCAAGATTGAATCACTGTACTCTAGCCTGGGGAACAGAGCAAGACTCAGTCTAAAAAAAAAAAAAGTATTTTTAAGTATTTTCTCAGAAAAAAAAAAGTAACCCAAATACTTTTGAAGTTCATGTGGCTTGATTAATCTTTAATAAATAAGAATATTGGTGATTTAGTAAAAATGGATATTCTACCTAGATTTGTTAATCAAACTCATATTTGTTACAAAATTTGTCAACAAGAAAAATAAACTGAAATGAACACAGTTTTGTTGAATGTTATAATAATATGTCTGCCTGGGGCAGGGCGCAGTGGCTCACACCTGTAATTCCAGCACTTTGGGAGGCCGAGGCAGGTGGATCTCAATGTCAAGAAATGGAGACCATCCTGGCCAACATGGTGAAACGCTGTCTCTACTAAAAATATAAAAACTTAGCTAGGCATGGTGGTGTGGGCCTGTAATTCCAGCTATCCAGGAGGCTGAGGCAGGAGAATCACTTGAACCCAGGAGGTGTTGATTGCAGTGAGCCGCGGTAGCACCACTGCACTCTAGCCTGGGCGACAGAGTGAGATTCCGTCTCAAAAAAAAAAAAATTACAAAATCATGTGCTTCCTAATTTTCACTAGATATTTGGTTCCTAAGGGTTAAGACATTTAATTAATATATGTAACTAAAACTACAAGTAGTAAGGGTAAAAGGAAACAACTGTATATGAAAATGAACATAAATATGAAAGATATATGGAGAAAGTAAGATGTGTTTTTAATAGGGAAAAGTATGCAAGGTATATGTTTGCATTAAGAAAAACGGCCGGGCACGGTGGCTCACGCCTGTAATCCCAGCACTTTGGGAGGCCGAGGCGGGTGGATCAGGAGGTCAAGAGATCGAGACCATCCTGGTCAACAAGGTGAAACCCCGTCTCTACTAAAAATACAAAAATTAGCTGGGCATGGTGGCGCACGCCTGTAATCCCAGCTACTCGGGAGGCTGAGGTAGGAGAATTGCCTGAACCCAGAAGGCGGAGGTAGCGGTGAGCTGAGATCGCGCCATTGCACTCCAGCCTGGGTAACAAGAGCAAAACTCTGTCTCAAAAAAAAAAAAAAAGAAAAGAAAAACAGTACTTTGTCTTTTTTTCACCTTTTATTTTAGATATGGGGTATGTGTGCGGGTTTGTTACTTGGGTGTATCGCATGATGCTGAGGTTTAGGGTATGGGTGATCCAATCACACAGGTACTGAGGATGGTACCCAATAGTTTTTCAACCTTGAAAACCTTGAGTCTCTCTCCCTCCCTCCTCGAGCAGTCCCATTTTTACCGTTGCCATCTTTATGTCCACGAGTGCTCCTGTGTTTACTTTCTACTTATAAGTGAGAACATGTGGTATTTTGTTTTCTGTTCCTGCACTAATTCACTTAGGATAATGAGTAATTTTGTCTTAGAGCAAGATTACTGACTGTTCTAGGATAAAAAAGAAGAAAATGAGTAAGACAAAAACTCAACAGATACAGAAAGTTGTAAAGGAGGAATTTTGTGTGTGGTCAGACTACTAAGATTAGGTATTTTATTCATAGCATTAAAAAATAAGCTCAGTAATGTATTCATACAAAGTTAGAATTCAGTTTTCTTTTTTTAGAGTTGGGTCTTGGTATGTTGAGTACATACCAAGGCTAGAGTACAGTAGCTGTTTACATTCATATGTATAATCATAAATCAGAGCACACTACAGCCTTGAACTCCTAGGCTCAAGTGATCCTTCTGCCTCAGCCTCCTGAATACCTGGGACTACAGGCATGCACCATCCCACCTAGCTTAGAATTTGGTTTTCTTTGTGTTAAAAGGGCAAAGCTTTCTTGGAGGGTTAGTCTGCTCTTGATTATGAAATATTTTTTTCTTTAAGTGGTTGGCCTAGAAAACCAAGATTTCATCATGTTTTATGAAGATAATTTCTCTTCATTTCATTTCTTTCTTTTCAGACGGAGTTTCGCTCTTGTTACCCAGGCTGGAGTGCAATGGCGCAATCTCAGCTCACCGCAACCTCTGCCTCCTGGGTTCAGGCAATTCTCCTGCCTCAGCCTCCTGAGTAGCTGGGATTACAGGCATGTGCCACCACGCCCAGCTAATTTTTTGTATTTTTAGTAGAGATGGGGTTTCACCATGTTGACCACGATGGTCTCGGTCTCTTGATTTCGTGATCCACAGGCCCTCCTCGGCCTCCCACAGTGCTGGGATTACAGGCTTGAGCCACCGCGCCCATCCTCTTTTCTTTTTTTGAGACAGAATCTTGCTCTGTCACCAAGCTAGAGTGCAGTGGTGTGATCTCGGCTCACTGCAACCTTTGCCTCCCAGGTTCAAGCCATTCTCCTGCCTCAGCTCCCGAGTAGCTGGGACTACAGGCTCGAGCTACCACGCCCAGCTAATTTTTGTTTTTTGTTTTTTTATTTTTTCAGTAGAGTGGGGTTTCACCATGTTGGCCAGGATGGTCTAGATCTCTTGACCTCATGATCCACCTGCCTCGGCCTCCCAAAGTGCTGGGATTACAGGCATGAGCCACCGTGTGCAGCCTGTCAAGATGATTTCTTATGCTTTATGTCTTTGATTATTTTCCAAAAAGTGAATCTTTTCAATATTAAAAAAAGTATTTTTTTTCTTACAGGTAGGTAACTTTCTGTATTTGCCTTTAAAGTCTTCTATCACTTTGGTACTGTTTCCCAGTGGCCTGTGACCCTATTTAGTCAAGGGTTGTAAATCTTTTGACATTTTTGACAGCTTTCCTTGACTTTGGGAGGTTCCAGAAGGGTCCTGGGAATATCTCAAATGAATTTATTTTCTCCCCTTCTAAAGAGAGAGATTGGCCGGGCACAGTATGGCCAATCTCTCTTTTTATGCCTATAATCCCAGCACTTTGGGAGCCCAGGTGGGTGGATCACCTGAGGTCAGGAGCTCGAGACCAGCCTGACCGACGTGGCAAAACTTCGTCTCTACTAAAACTACATAATTAGCCTGGCGTGTTGGCACATGCCTGTAATCCCAGCTACTCAGGAGGGTGAGGCAGGAAAATCGCTTGAAACCGAGAGGCGGAGGTTGCAGTGAGTCAAGGTTGCGCCATTTCACACCAGCCTGGGCAACAAGAGCAAAACTCTGTCTCAGAAAATAAATAAATAAAAATAAATAAATAAATAAATAAAAATAGATGAAAATAGAGATGTTAAACTAATTAGGCTTATTTGATATGTTAAATTGCATGGTATGCATTTTGAAATACATGTGATGTTTAACTTTCTTAGTTATATAGATACATATTAATAGAAATGTCCCAGAATTAAATTCCTAAAAATCTGATGTGTTCTGGTATCACTCATAATTCTGTTATCTTAAAGTGTTGTATCAAAACATTCAAATTTCCTTGGCAGTTTTGTAATACAAAATTGCACCTGTAATCTCAGCTACTTGGGAGGCTGAGGCAGGAGATCATTTGAACCCAAGGGTCAGAGGTTGAAGTGAGCTGAGATCATGCCATTGCACTTCAGCCTGGGCAACAAGAGCGAAACTCTGTCTCAAAAAAAAAAAAAAATTTACTGTGATTATTTATGGTAAAAATGGGAGTGACCACAAAGGAGATCGTATTTCAGTAGAAAACTACAGTGCATGCATTATCGAATTCTAGTCCTGTTCATTTTTTTGAGGTTTTATTTTCTCCCTGTAAACTGAATTGAATCCCAACTTTCCCTAGTTTCACTGAAAACTAAAACTTCCCTTTTCCAAAGCCTTGCAAACTGAAAGTAGATGAATTTAAATTTCAGAACAATCACCTCAGCAGACTGCATCTGGATGGCGCTGGCTATGTCAGCAGGAAGTGTTCTGATGAGCTCTCCAGGTGGCCCACCTGGCAGCAGGCATGAAGGCTGTCCAGATCAGATCTGCTGTAGTCTGTGATGTGCATAGTGATGGCTATGTCACCTTGCGCCCCAGTGCAACTGCTGTTGGTGATTACTCCATACGACTCTTCACTCCAGTGACTGCGTCACTCAGTGGCAATGGAGAGTAAAGCTCTATCTACCATCTGGTCATCCTCTCAGCTTGCCCAGTGGGGATTTGTTTAAGTAAATTTTTTTGTTTGTTCGAAACAGAGTCTCACTCTGTCACCCAGGCTGGAGTGCAGTGGCACAATCTTGGCTCACTGCAACCTCTGCCTCCCAGGATCAAGTGATTCTCCTGCCTCAGCCTCCCAAGTTTAGCTGGGATTACAGGTGAGCACCACTACACCCAGCTATTTTTTTTTTTGTATTTTTAGTGGAGACGAGGTTTTTACCATGTTGGCCAGGCTCGTCTCAAACTCCTGACCTCAGGTGATCCACCAGCCTTGGCCTCCCAAAGTGCTGTGATTACAGGTGTGAGCCACTGCGCTCGGCCTGTATAATTAAAATGGAGACCAGGCCTGAAGACTCCCTAAGCACACAAACAATTTAGGCCTTGTAAGTGACCTCAACCTTGTTTAAACTGAAAACATGAGTGAAACTTAATTTGAGTCATTTTTGTTTGTTTGGTAGAGACAAGGTCTTGCCCAGGCTGGTCTCAAACGCTAGCCATCTACTCTGCCTCAGCCTCACACCCAAAGTGCTGGGATTACAGGCAAGAGTAATTTCTTTTCTGAGACGGAGTCTTCTCTGTCACCCAGGCTGGAGTGCAAAGGCGCGATCTTGGCTTACTTCAACTTCCACCTCCTGGGTTTGAGTGATTCTCCTGCCTCAGCCTGCTGAGTAGCTGGGATTACAGTCACCTGCCATCAAGCCCAGCTAATTTTTGTATTTTTGTAGAGATGGGGTTTCACTATGTTGACCAGGCTGGTCTTGAACTCCTGACCTCAGGTGATCCGCCCACCTTGGCCTCCCACCCAAAGTGCTGGGATTACAGGCGTGAGCCACCATGCCCTGCTGAATCGTTTCTGATCAATGCTTACATTAGATACAGATAAATTTTAACCCTACCGCATCATAGTAACCAACTAACATGGTTATATAACTACTGATTTTCCAACAGGATAAACCAAAGAAAGGAACAGTGTAACAAATCCAATGATTTCTTTATTGTGCTTCCACATTTTCCCAATAGAAACTTGCATTTGATATTTTGTCTCTGGAATACTAAACCTCTTTCAGTCAGGTGTTCCCCAATTCAAAAATTGCTTCTTACTCAAATAAACTCTTTACAGTTTTATTGTGAGTCGATTTTTCTTTCACACATAAAACATGCTGTTAGTAAGGAACATGACTTAGATCAACATCCAGCTCCTGGTGCAGTTTCTTTTTCTGTCACCAGGGCCACCTTGCTGTCTTGCCACAGGTTCATGGTAACCACTGGGCATCATTCATGGGAAATTGCACTCTGTAAGCAGGCCCCAGGCACATTTTCAGCTGCAAAGTAGAGGAAGAGCAACTGGTGAGGGAGAAGGAGAACCAAGAGACTGTGGGAGAATGGAAACTGAGCTGAGAGAGCTTCTGGAAGGTTGCAGTGGTCTACTGCATTTCATGTTATTGAAAAACTGAGTCAGGCTGATTTCATGGAGCCAATGAAATGGAAGTGCTGCTGAGGAAGATGCTGAGCTCTGGAGGTGAAAAGGGATGAGGAAGCCTAAGAAGACACAAGTGCAGTACCTAAAACAACTTCTTGAAATTGTCTAATGTCGCACGTTAAAATAATATGAAAGTTTCCAGTGTCTGAACTACAGTGATTTGTCTTTAGATTTTGAAATATAAAAGCCTTTATTCTATTTTCTTTTTTAAGATGGAGTCTCACACTGTTGCCCAGGCTGGAGTGCTGTGGTATGATCTGGGCTCACTGCAACCTCTACCTCCTGGGTTCAAGGGATTCTTTTGTCTCAGCCTCCCGAATAGCTGATATCACAGATATGTGCCACCATGCCCCGCAAATGTGTGTGTGTGTGTGTGTGTGTGTGTGTGTGTGTTTTAGATGGAGTTTCCCTTTTGTTGCCCAGGCTGGAGTGCAATGGTGTGATCTCGGCTCACTAGAACCTCTACCTCCTGGGTTCAAGCAATTCTCTTGCCTCGGCCCCCAGAGTAGCTGGGATTAGAGGCATGTGCCACCATGCCCCGCTACTTTTATATTTTTAGTAGAGCTGGCTCTTTTTTCCATGTTAGTCGGCTGGTCTTGAACTCCCGACCCCAGGTGATCCGCCTACCTCGGCCTCCCAAGGTGCTGGAATTACAGGTGTGAGCCACTGCCCCTGGCCAAAAGCCTTTATTTTTTGCTTTTAACCACTCTCCTTTTTGGGGTTGAAAGGGCTAGTTATAGGAAAAATCCCTTTGCTGGTGTCTTCGTTTTTTTTTTTTTTTTTTTCAGACAGTGTCTCACTCTGTCACCCAGACTGGAGTGCAGTGGCAACCCCGCTGCAACCTTGGCCTCCTGGGTTCAAGCAATTCTCCTGCTTCAGCCTCCCTAGTAGCTGAGATTACAGGCGCCCGCCACCACGTCGGGCTAATTTTTGTATTTTTGATAAAGACAGGGTTTCTCCACGTTGGCCAGGCTGGTCTCAAACCGCCCGACTCGACCTCCCACCTCGAGGTGATCTGACACTTTGGCCCTCGTGTCCCACTTTTTTGCCGGTTTTAGATCCCAGCCTCCTCCTGCGGCCACAGTGGGAAATGCAGAGAAATTCGCTCCTGGGGCTGTCGGGGCTGGCGGGGCTGGCGAGGGCTTACTTGCTCCCCACGCCCTCCCAGTCTCCAGCTTTGCGCTCCCAGCCCAGGTGCTGCCGGTTCACATTTTTCACTCGCAAATCGCTGTTAACCCTCCAGGCGTGGTCCCGGGCGCGGCTGCAGATGGAACCAGTCCCTGAAGGCTTGTGTTGTCTCTGAGGAAACAGCAGCTTTAGGTCTTAGCCAGAAGTCCTTCTCTCCTTGGAGAGGCTGGGACAGGGTTTCTTTCCTCCAGTGGCTGGACCGCCTCCACAGGCAATCAGAAGGTTGCTCCAAGGAGGCTGCTGAAGGTTGGACTGACCTTCCTGGGACCCATTTTCTTGATTTTAATTTTTTGCTTGGTAGTAAATTGTGTTATTTATACTATCATAGCACAAGCAGAACAGTGACTTGGGTTTCACAGCTGCTGCCGGGGATCTCGTGCTTTTTAAGTCCTGCCACCTTTGCAGAGCTATATTGGGTGTTTTGGGGTTTGAGGTTTTTTCTTTCTTTTCTTTTTTTTTTTTTCTTTGGATCTTTTTAGAGAGATGGATCTTGCTATGTTACTCAGGCCACTGTGCCTGGGAGTGCGACATTTTAATTCTCTAGGAAGTTAGGGGGCAAAACTCCTGCCTTTCAGGGAAGTGACATGTCCTCAGTCACCTTCCTGACAGGAACTTTCCCCATGAAGGACAAAGTTCTGCCCTTGATCTGAATTTTGACAAAGTGAGAGGCATTTCCCTTCCACAGAAGATGGGACTGAGCACGTCCTTGCTTGCCATCCACATGCCTGGTAAGGCTGGTGGGATGACTTCCTCTGTTTGGTTTCTCCTACCATGGGATCCTAGGGCATCACATGCTGGACACTGCCCTTGTCCTCTGACAGCAGCCTGGGGTCTCCAGAAGCTGGGTGGAGTTGACTTATGAGCACTGAGTGGCCTATAAGAAGGTGCAGGTGGAGGGTGTCATCTCCATCCTCTGAAGGTTTGTGCACCCTAAACTTAACCAAGAGGGAGAGCCTGAGACTGGGACAGAGAATCAGGGCAGGGTCTAGATTTCCCCAACTTCAGGTCCACCTTAAGGTAAGGGGCCCATCCTCACCCTCTCACTGTCATCTAATAGTCCCGGGAAGGGGGGCAGCTGGGAGGTGAGTTACCTGAGGCTCAGTAGAGTTCAGGCTGGGTGCCAGGGACACTCACTCCTGGGCCATCTCCTTGCTGCTTGAGTAAGGGAGAAATCCCCAGCCCTACTGTGTCCCAGAGGGAGGAAACACACACAGCACTTTCCAGGGAGCCCTATCTTTGTCTCAGGGACTCCAGGCTCTTTTTCATGTCTGGGCCCCACCTGGCACCTATCCCAAGACTCACTCCTGAGATGGGATTAAGTGAGAAGCAGACGGAGGAGCCAAGCCTCCTCCCTAAGGGACCAAATGCTCACAACCAGCAGAAACACCTACATGCCAGCCTGAGTGGGGCAAGGAGATACCAGCCAGGATGTGGTCTCGAGGGCAAGTCCTCAGCTCAGATGAGGGAAGGCTGAGGATTGAGATGAAGACACCCAGAAGTCGGGCTAATAGAGCAACTGGTCCAGAGCGGGGATACCAGGTGCTAGCTGATGCAGTGACTGGAGTAGGGGGCAGGCTGAGCTCTGGGCTCTCCATGGGCACAGTGAGAGTCTCATCTGTGCAGTCACAACAGTCGCAATGGGTGCAGGGGGTCCAGGAAGTCCTAGAGGGTCTAGATGGGTTGAAATAAGCCTGGCCATAAAGAGAAATATGTTTGGATTTTATTTATCTCATTTATTTTTTGTTCTCGACTTGAAAACCCTATCCCAGGTCTGGCGAACCCAGAGTAAGGAAAGTCCAGAAGCTGCTGGAGGAGCTATGGGAGCGTCAGCCTCCCCTCTATGCCCCTCCCTGTGCCCTGATGCGAACCTCCACTACATCCCTGCAATGACAATGTTCACTGCCAGGACCCATGCCCCAGGGTCTTCCTCTTCAGTCTGGGAGGCCACCATCAGGCACGGCCCCCACCTCTCCCTTGCTGGCCCGCAATGGAATCAGCCTCTCCGGTTTCTGGTAATTTCATCAGGGCTGCATCACATTGCTAAAGCTAGAGATAACATCTCCCTGTGAGTAAATCTTCCCGGCCACAGCCCCCTGAAGCTGGACCCAGGCTGAGAGGAGAGACTCTGGGATGTGGGATGAACTTAGGGGTGTGAGGGTCTACCAGACAGAAGTAGGTCGGCTGTGATGCCAGCACAGAGCCCAGAAATGTAGCCATTGGATACTGGGGACTAGGAAGAGGAGAAGGGGGCAGGAGGTGGCGGGGGCTTGCGGAGACCCTGGGCTCCTGTCCTGCTGTAAGCCTTGCTGTCTCTTGATATCTACAGCCAGGCCCTACAGACACCTCCAGGCCTGGGTGCAAGCAAAGACTCATCTTTCCCAGGCCCTGGAGGACTGGTCCACCTTAACTGGGCAGCCCATGGGGCGGGGCACTGGCCGGTGCCCCAGCCCAGGCCTCTGTGCTGCACGCACTGAGCCTGCCATTGGGCCCCTTGCAGTGTGGGCTGCAGCCCCAAACCATGGTCCAGGGTACCTTGGAGCCAGACAGTCCCCTCTGGGGCTGGGACTGGGATGGTGACAATGACTGGGATAGTGCTGTGCTGGCCCTCCTGGCACTGGCTGTGGTGGCTGCCACGGCGCTGGCTTTACACTGGTTTGGCTCCGGGCGCGACCAAGAGGTGGCAGGACCAGTGTCCACAGACCTCAGGGCTCAACCTCATCAGGCAGGAAGAGCTGAGCCGGCCCTGCAACCGAAGTTTAAGGTCAGTGATGGCAGCGAGGGTCAGAGCCCAGGGCAGGGGAAGCAGGAGCCTCCAGGACGCGGCCAGCAGAGCCCTGTCCCTGCTGCAGAGCTGAGCCGGGTCCTGGCCGCCACGGCCGCACTTCCACTCAAGACAGCTGGCGAGGAGGCCCGTAGAGGGGTACTGGGACAGCAGCGGGGCGGCGCCATCCCCATGGCCCCCCGAGCTGAAGGAAAGGAGCCTCCCAGGCCAGGCACTGCCCTCATGGGCAGGAGCGAAGCAGGGGGGATGTCAGCCCCCCTCCTGATCCACTTCACCCCTCGGAGCCCTGGAAGCGAAGCGGAGGTGCAGGCGGAGGCAGGTGGTGTCAAGGCGCCCTTTCCCCAGGCCGCGGGCCCTGCGGGGCATCAGGACACCGGCCCCTGGCAGGCGGGCGCGGGGCCCTCGGGCTCGCTGGGGAGAGGCCGGGGCCGGCGACGGCGGATGGACGCGGGCTTAGGAGACAGAGCCCGCCGCCCCCGGAAACTGGACCAGCTCTGCCTAGGGGCCGCGGGGAGCGTGTGGGACGCGGTGGATGAGGCTGCTGCCCTGGACGCCCACGCGCGCGGCCTCCCCACAGGATCCCTGCTCGCTCAGGAGACCACACCCCGCGCCGGGCAGCCTGGGTCCCAGACCGAGGGTTCTGGGGCCAAGGCTGGAGGGAGCAGGGAGGCTCCGGGGGTCCCCGCCCCCGGAGAAGGCTGGCCCTGGGCCAGGAGAGAGGTCCCCGGCACCCGGAACTCCCACCCGGCCCCAGGATCCACGCGCACCTGGCTGGAGAGTCCGCCTCAAGGACTCTCACTTTCCTCTCAAGGGCCAGGGGCCACAGGGGCCTACGCTGCGGGCGAGGCCGGGGCTTACGGCTCGCGAGTGGACAGTCGGGCCACTGACCTGGGGCCCACGGCAGCAGTCCGTCGCAACCGCGCCTCCTCCCCGAGCCGTGAGCCCCAACCGCGCTCTGCCTCCCGGCCTGCGACTCCGGGCCCGGGGGTCCCACCTGAAGCCCTGACTCTCCCGACCCCCTCTCCTTCAGATTCTTTGCCCCTGGGGGTTACCCAGGGTCCTTCTGTGGCAGAAAATCTCAGAGCGGCGCCAGCCCCAAGTTCAGCCTCAGCCCAAGTCTTAATTTCAGCTCCAACCTCAGTCCTAGCCCCAGCCCTAGCCTCGTGCCCAACATCGGCACCAACCCCAGCCCCCAACTCAACCTCATCCTCCACCTCAGCCCCAGCCCCAGCTCCAACTTCAGCCCCAACTCCAACTCCAGCCCCAGCCCCAGCCCCAGCCCCAACTCCAACTCCAGCCTCAACTCCAGCCCCAGCCCTAGTCCCTACCCTCACCTCAGCCCCAGCCCCAGTTCTAACTTCAGCACCAACCCCAGCCTCCACCTCAACCTCATCCCCCACCTCAGCCCCAGCCCCAGCTCCAACTTCAGCCCCAGCCCCAGCCCCAGCCCCAGCCCCAACTCCAGCCCCAACTCCAACTCCAGCCTCAACTCCAGCCCCAGCCCTAGTCCCTACCCTCACCTCAGCCCCAGCCCCAGTTCTAACTTCAGCACCAACCCCAGCCTCCACCTCAACCTCATCCCCCACCTCAGCCCCAGCCCCAGCTCCAACTTCAGCCCCAGCCCCAGCCCCAGCCCCAACTCCAGCCCCAACTCCAACTCCAGCCTCAACTCCAGCCCCAGCCCTAGTCCCTACCCTCACCTCAGCCCCAGCCCCAGTTCCAACTTCAGCGCCAACCCCAGCCCCCACCTCAGCTCCAACCCCAGCCACATCCCCTGCCCCAGCTGGCGGGTCAAGGGCTGTATCTCAGGAGAGTGTGGTTCTCGCCAGGCGCTACCAGGAGGGTCAGGTCTCAGCCAGCTGGGGAAACCTTATTGCCATGGTGCTTAGACGCCACCCCTTCCCCAGGCAAGACAGGCCCCAAGGGAGTGTCCCAAGGGCGGTTCCTGGGAGTTCTGAGGATCCCAGCACTTGCACTCACTCTAAGGACAGACATGGTTCCTCTTCTTTAGTGGGGATGGTAATGGGGACAGGTACAGGGGCCCTGGTTGAGGCTCGAGGTCAGCCATGGCCAAGAAGCTCCGAGACCAAGGGAGTGCCCAGCTCAGACCCTTCCCCAGGCCTAAGAGGAGAGGGAACCAGGGAGAAGAGTCTAGACTTGCTGCCCCAAGCCGCAACGCCCAGGGACTCCGCACAGCCCCCTGCGCAGAGGCCGTCTGGCCCTGAGGCCTCCCGCTCTGTGAGGCACTCACAGCCGGTGCCCCAGCCACGGAAACGCAGCAGGTGTGAAATCGCCCTGACCTCAGAGCAGAAAGTCAGGCCAGCCGCCCCAGGGGACCCCCAGGGGGAGGTGCCTGCAGAGGCGGGCAGCCCGGCCGGCCGCAGCGGGGCGCTCACAGAGAAGCAGAAGGAGGCTCGGAAACTCATGGTGTTTCTGCAGAGGCCCGGGAGTTGGGGGGTGGTAGAAGGGCCCCGAAAGCCCACCTTACAGGCGCTGGCGCCCACCACGGCAGCGGTCCTGAGGCGGCGGCTGGACCTGGGCAGTTGCCTGGACGTACTGGCCTTTGCCCAGCAGTACGGGGAGCCGGGCCTGGCGCAGGAAACCTACACGCTGATGAGCAACAACCTGCTGCGAGTGCTGGGAGACCCGCGCCTCTACCGCCGGCTGAGCGCCGCCGACCGTGAGCGCATCCTCAGCCTGCGCACCCGCCAGGGCCGGGCGGTGCTGGGCGTCGTCGTGCTGCCCAGCCTCTACCAGGGGGGCCGCTCAGGGCTCCCCAGGGGCCCTCGTGGCGACGAGCCTCCTGTGGCGGCCCCTGTGCCCCTGCCTCCACGTACGCACCTGCATGTGTTCAACCCCCAGGAAAACACCTGGCGGCCCCTGACCCAGGTGCCCGAGGAGGCCCCGCTCCGGGGCTGCGGTCTCTGCACCATGCACAACTACCTGTTTCTGGCGGGGGGCATCCGTGGCTCTGGTGCCAAGGCTGTCTGCTCCAACGAGGTCTTCTGCTACAACCCTCTGACCAACATCTGGAGCCAGGTTCGGTCCATGCAGCAGGCCCGAGCCCAGCTTAAGCTGGTGGCCCTGGACGGACTGCTCTATGCCATCGGTGGCGAGTGCCTGTACAGCATGGAGTGCTACGACCCGCGCACAGACGCCTGGACGCCGCGCGCGCCCCTCCCCGCAGGCACCTTCCCTGTGGCCCATGAGGCTGTGGCCTGCCGTGGGGACATCTACGTCACCGGGGGTCACCTCTTCTACCGGCTGCTCAGGTACAGCCCTGTGAAGGATGTCTGGGACGAGTGCCCATACAGTGCCAGCCACCGGCGTTCCAGCGACATCGTTGCGCTGGGGGGCTTCCTGTACCGCTTCGACCTGCTGCGGGGCGTGGGCGCTGCTGTGATGCGCTACAACACGGTGACGGGCTCCTGGAGCAGGGCTGCCTCCTTGCCCCTGCCCACCCCTGCCCCCCTGCGCTGCACCACCCTGGGCAACACCATTTACTGCCTCAACCCCCAGGTCACTGCCACCTTCACGGTCTCTGGGGGAACTGCCCAGTTCCAGGCCAAGGAACTGCAGCCCTTTCCCTTGGGGAGCACAGGGGTCCTCAGTCCATTCATCCTGACTTTGCCCCCTGAGGACAGGCTGCAGACCTCACTCTGAGTGGCAGGCAGAGAACCAGGGCTGCTTCACTGCTCTCCAGGGAGGCGTTGTGGGGTGGGTCTGAGAGGCCGGGGCTCAGGGAGGGGGCTGGGATCAGAACTTCCTGCTCTTGTTTCTGGATGACTTTCCGCTTCTGCCTTAAAGGTTGTCAATTATTTTGAAGCCCAGACTCCTTTCTGCCTGTCCCTCCACAGCATGCTGTTTCCGGACTCAATTCTGTACCTGCTTACAGACCCACTCAGGTTGCTCACACCCCCCTCTGTCTTTGGGACTTCCCATTCCCTAGAGCCAGGGACTGATATGACCCCACAGACAAGGACTTGGCTCGCTGGAGCTCTGCTGAGCCGAGAGGGGTAGAAACCATTCAGACTCCCTATGCTCTGTCAGCATGACAGGGAGCAAGAAAGTCCTCAGGCAACTCCTTGGCCTCTGGGATTTTCTGCCTGTCCAGACCCGGTACGTAGCCACCTGGGTCTGTTTGGCACTGTGGATTCTCAAGGACCTAGAACCTTTGCCTCTGAAACTGCTGCTGCCCTGCTATCTGCAGCCCCTATCCATACTCCCAGCCCACAACAGGCCAGGCCCACTCCAGGCTCACCAACCTCTGCAGCCTTGGGGCTTTCCCAGCCCCTCCAGAAGCTCACCCCACTTCTCACCAACCCCCCAGCTCTAAATGAAGCCTGAGTGTCACCCTAGTTCTGCCCCTTTCAGCTGTGTGGACTTGGATAAGACATTCAACTTCCGTTTCCTCATCTGTAAAATGTGGACAGTGGACATCTGTCATCCAGGAGAGATGTGGGAGATGAGATTGCGGCTGTGAACACCTTGCATGGTGTCCAGGACACACAGCACAATCCATGATTCATTTTCTCCCCTTACACACTTTGAAACCCATGTTAGAGAGGTGAATAATACTGACTGAGGCCCACTCCAACCTCCACCCTGGGTGTCCCTGACTGGGCCCTCTTTTTTTTGTTTTGTTTTTTATTATATGCTCTGCACCACTGGCACCAAATACATTTTGATTCACTGAAAGGTCTGCAGCTTGCACTTACCATGTTTTGTACATGAGGTTTAATATGCAGGTGGGTGGATCACCGCACACAAGATAAGCCCTCGGGTTGTGCTTAAAAATAAGTTTATTAAGAAACAAGTACAGTGCATACAGCTGTGGGCACCAGCTCCGTCCCCCAGTGACTTTGTCACACAGGCAGATGGTGGCATGGCAACTGTGGTGGGCCAGTGGGGCCTATGGCCCTTGCTTGGTCTCATGGAGCAGCTCTTGCCAGTTCTTCTCCATCTCCTGCTTGCAGTTGAGGAAGGCGTCCTCCAGTCGGCGCATGGACTCGGCCAGCATAGGGTTGGTGCGCATCACAACCATGTCATAGGCCATCCAGGTTGCCTGCACTGCAACAAGCAGACAGGCCTGGTGAGGCCACAGGGAGGGGCTGCAGCTCTGGGGCACCCAGAAGAGTCAGATGCCTCCAGCTGTACTCAGCATCTGGGGGACAAGACCCTGCTGAGGCACCCAATTACTCTAGCTGGTTCCCAGTCCTGCAAGGCCCAAGTCTCATGTCACCTTAGGCCTGCCCAGCTCCATCTGGGCACCTCTATGCTTTTGTTGAGGCCCAGGCCTGGGGCTTCTCCTCTTGGGAAGGTGTCCTTGACCATCTATCCATGCATTGACTGACTCTCTTGCTCTTTCCCTCTGAGAGCAACCTGAAGGTAGTGTTACCTGGGCCTATAGGTGAATATATGCTTCTTGTGTAAACTCAAAGAAAGTGTGCAGAAATCCCACCTCCAACCCTTTTTTTTTTTCTTTTGAGACGGAGTTTCGCTCTTGTTACCCAGGCTGGAGTGCAATGGTATGATCTTGGCTCACTGCAACCTCCGCCTCCTGGGTTCAGGCAATTCTCCTGCCTCAGCCTCCCGAGTAGCTGGGATTACAGGCACGCGCCACCATGCCCAGCTAATTTTTTGTATTTTCAGTAGAGACAGGGTTTCACCATGTTGACCAAGATGGTCTTGATCTCTTGACCTCGTATCCACCCGCTTTGGCCTCCCAAAGTGCTGGGATTACAGAACCTCCAACCTTTTCTCTGCATAGCCTACCTGCTGGTGTGGTTCTGCCCTCTACAACTATACAGAACAAATGTCATCTCCCCTTTGCATAACAGCCAATCATACGTAGCAAACACTTCCCCTTAAAGTTCCTCTTCATGGAGGTAAAAAGTACTGGATACTTTGGGAACTTACATCCTAACAAGCATCCCAGATCATTCTGGCACAGGGAGGCTGCAGACCATCCAGACAGCAGGTGCAGCAGGGACCTGGAAGCCATAGCAGAGTGTGCCTCCCAACTCTCCTCCTGCCAACTATGTGACCTGGAACAAGTGGCTTATATATATTAATCTCAGTCTTCTCATCTTTAGAGACTCTACCAATCTCATGGTTTACTGTGAAGATTAAATGGATGATTATATAAACTGCCTAGCACACGTTATGGACTGAATGTGTCCCCCTAAATTCACCTGTTGAAATCCTAACCCCAAATGTGATGGTATTAGGAGGCTGGATCTTTTGGAGATGATTAGGTCCTAAGGGTAGACTCTCATGAATGGGATTAGTACCCTCTAAAGAAAAGACGTGAAAGCTAACTCTCTCTCTATGTGAGGATATGTGAGGCTCTATGTGAGAATACAAGAAGGTGACTGCGCAGGCAAGGTGGTTCATGCCTGTAATCCCAGCAGTTTGGGAGGCTGAGGTGGGCAGATTTCTTGAGCTCAGAAGTTCGAGACCAGCCTGGGTAACATGTTGAAACCCTGTCTCTACAGAAAATACAAAATTTATCTGGGTGCAGTGGTGTGTACCTGTAGTTCCAACTACTCAAAAAAAAAAAAAAAAAATAGGTGACCACCTACAAACCAGGAAGAGACTTGTTACCAGATACCAGGTCTGCTGGCACCTTGATCTTGGACTTCCCAGCCTCCAGAAATGAATGTTTATTTTGTCTTGTTTTGTTTTTGACTTGGGATCTTGCTCTGTTGCCCAGGCTGGAGTACAGTGGCAAAATCATGGCTCACTGCAGCCTCTAAATCCTGGGCTTGACTGATCTTCTCACCTCAGCCTCCCAAGTGGAGGCAACACCATGCCCAGCTACTTTTAAAAAAACATTATTTTTTTAAAAGTAGCTGGGCATGGTTTAACAGAACCAGTCTCGTTCTGTTGCCCAGGTTGGTCTCAAACTCCCGACCTCAAGTGATCATCCTGTCCTCCCAAAGTGCTGGGATTAAAGATGTGAGCCACTATGCCTGACCAAAATGTGTTTAAAAAAATTTTTTTTTATTTTTTTGATACGTAGTCTCACTCTGTCACCAGGCTGGAGCGCACTGGTGCGATCTTGGCTCACTGCAACCTCTGCCTCCTGGGTTCAAGTAATTCCTCTGCCTCAGCCTCCGGAGTAGCTGGGACTACAGGCATGCACCACCACACCCAGCTAATTTTTGTATTTTTAGTAGAGATGGGGTTTTATTATGTTGGCCAGATGGTCTCTATCTGGGATTACAGGTTTCAGCCACTGCACTGGTCAAAATGTTTGTTTGTTCTTTGAGACAGACTGCTCTGTTGCCCAGACTGGAGTGCAGTGGCACAATCTTGGCTCATTGCAACCTCTGCCTCCTGGGTTTAAATGATTCTCCTGCCTCAGCCTCCTGTATAGCTGGGACTACAGGCACGTGCCACCATGCCCAGCTAATTTTTGTGTTTTTAGTAGAGACAGGGTTTTGCTATGTTGGCCAGGCTGGTCTCAAACTCCTGTCCTCAAGATCTGCCCACCTCAGCCTCCCAAAGTGCTGGGATTACAGGTATAAGCCACTGTACCTGGCTTACATGTTTGTTTTTTAAGCTACTCAGTCTATGGTAATTTGTTATTGCATCCCCAAAAGTTGGATGTTGCTGTAATAAACCTCTAAAGGTGTGGAGGCAGCTTTGGTATTGGTAATGAATAGAGGCTGGGAGAGTTCTGAAGTGCATGCTATGAGAAGCTGATACTGTCATGAAGCATGTTTTAATGGTGAGTCTGGTGAGGGCTCAGAAAGAAAAGAGGAAATTTGCCAAGAAAGCTTCCAACTTCTTCAAGAACATATAATTAACAATGAACAGGATATGGGTAGAAATATGGATGGTAAAGGCCATTCAGATGAAGTCTTAGACAGAAATGAGAAACATGTTATTGGAAACTAGAGGAAAAGTGATTTTTGTTATAAAATGGTAAAGAGCTTAGCTGAATTGTGTTCATGTTCTAGTGGTGTTTTGTAGAAGGTAGAACTTATGGGCAATTAAATTGGATATTAGTGAGGAGATTTGCTCAAAAAAAGAATAAACTCTTCTTATAAAATAAATAATTGATGTACCCAAGGCAAAGAGTTTGGGTGCCCAAGGCAAAAATTCAGGGAAAAGGCAATACATAGAAATGAATCTCATATAATCCTATATAGCAGCTGGAATTCTGAGTTTCCTAGGTCAAAGAAGAAAAGAAAACATGATCAGATATCAGATTCAGTGATCATAAGATAAAAACAAATCCAAAGTTTAAAACACTTTTATCCTAAGAGAAAACTTTCCTATGTGTCTTGCTTATGAGAGGTGTATAATGTAGTTAAAAATGACCTTGATCATATCCCTTCTTTAAATACAAGGTGGTCCTTCCATGTCCGTAGTTGTGGTCACTGGTGAAAGAAAGCTAGTAACAGCATCAAAGCACAGTGCAAAAAGGCAATTCAATCAGACACCAAAACTCTGTATAAAGTGTAGAGTCCTCTTGTCACTTCATACAAGGAAAAAAATTTAGAATACATAAAATAAGGACTCATCATCCTCATAAAATTCACCAGAAATATACGTCTCTTGAGTTTTTAATTAACTCAATCATTCCATATTTATTGAACACCACTTAGTGCTGGCATTTTGCTAGGCCAGAACTGGTAATACAGTAGTATGCAAGAGAGACACATTCTGCCCTTGTGACATTTTCCATCCCAGTTGCAGTGGGAGGAGAAAGATAATAAAAATATAAGACAAGATTGTGAAAGATGCTGTGAAGGAAATAAACAGTATATGTGGTAACAGAGAAATAGGGTGGGAGGAGTCTTATTTTATATATACATGTGATAAAGATGTGTGTTTGTGTATGTGTATGTGTATATTTGATTCTGGCCTCTCTGCACTGGGCTGTATTCTGTTATTCAACTTGTCTGTCCCTAAGCCAATATAGAGCTTTATAGTTTAATTATATAGCTTTATAATAAATGTTGTTAATTGCAGGGTTCATCCCCCATCCTATTTGTTTTCCTCAGAAGTATCTTAGCTATTTTTGACTCTTAGGTCTCTCATAAATATTTTAGAATCAACCTGTCAAGTTCCATGAAAAATGCGAATAGGATTTTATTTTATTTTTATTTATTTATTTATTTTTTTTGGGGGGGAGGAAGGCAGGAAGGAAGGGAATAAGGACGGTAGGGAGGAAGGAAGGGATGAAGGAAGGAAGGAAGGGAGGAAGCGGGGAGGGAGGGACGGAAGAGAAGAAAGGAAATCAAGCAATGAAAGAGACATTGCCGACCTGGATCTAGAGGTTTACAAGTTGATTTCTTTTTTTTTTGAGAGAAGGAAAGAAAAAAAAAATAAGTAAAGGAGAGGAAGAAAGAGGAAGAGAAAGAGGGAGAGTAAATGGAAATATTGCTTTATTTTGAAAAAAATTGGGTATTAATAATGGCCAATCAATGTTTCATTTAAACTAATGGGTAGGTGTGATGTGGTATTGACAAGAATGTATATTTTGTGTATTTGAAGTGGAGAGCTCTATAAATATTTATTAAGTTTACTTGTTCTGGATCTGAGTTCGAGTCCTTGATATCCTTATTAATTTTCTGTCTCATTGAATCTAAGTCTCTTATCTGGGTGTTAGGATCGTTAGCTCTTGTTGTTGCATTGATCCTTTTACCACTATATCTTTGTTGCTTTAAAATCTATTTTATCCGATACAAGAATTGCAACTCCTGCTTTTTTTTTATTTATTATTTATTTTTGCTCTCCATTTGGTTGGTAAATCTTTCTCCATCCCTTTGTTTTGAGTCTTTGTGTATCCTTGCACGTGAAACAGGTCTGGATGTAACATGCCGTTAGGTTTTGGCTGTGTCTTTTGATTGGGAATTCAGTCAATTTAAATTTAGGGTTACTGCCATTTGATGTTGACTGGCTGTTTTATCCACTTGTTGGTGTAAATTCTTCTTTATGTTGGTGCTCTTTACTTTTTGGTGTATTTTTAGAAAGGCTAATACTGGTTGTTTCTTTCCGTGTGTAATGCTTCTTTCAGAAGCTCTTGTAAAGCAGGCCTGGTGGTAATAAAATCT